AGAAGACTGTATTCCGAATCTTATCTTTAAGGAATTCATAGTCATGAGAAGGGAATGACACGTGGCATGGAGCAGTTGATTTCAACATCATATGGTAAGTTCTAATCCTCTGATAACAAGAAGTATTGGGTGCAACTGATGAACAAAGGAAAGGAAGCATATCTAGCCATATGTGTCTCTCTGTGTGTTGGGTGGAGCAATGGGAAAGCTAATCAGGGAACCACTGCTGTATCTCAAGGACGATGGTACTGGTTGCCTAATAGTTAGATCTTCGTTTCTCATCACCATCTACAACAGAAACACGGTTTGAAAGTGATCACTTCTCCTCTTATCTGGACTTTCACTATAACCGTCCCCAGTCTGATTGTGCTAATAAGGTTTGATGACATCATGGAGATAAACATCCATGATGAAGATTTTCTGTATTTCTTTCCTTTCTAAGAAACCCTCTGTCACCCAAAAGTAAAAATATCAAAATGAGAAAACTGAAGTCTCCCTGTCCCTGCCACCTCCTTTACTAAAATGACAGGACTTATTCCTCTCATTCCAGTCGGCAATGACCTTGTTCACACACTGCTGTGAGCTTCAGCAAGAGCTTGGTGCCATCATGAGAAGGTATTCAGGTTCTCTGCAGCATCCTCTGAAGACCCACCCTTGGAGGAGATGCAAGGCCTTTTAGCAAAGTAAAAGCAGAGGCCAGTCTTCTTTGCCTCATGACAGATGTCCACATTTTGTCATTGGTATATCTGGTATTAAAAGGTTGTAGAAATTTCTCCCATCAGAAAGTAGCTTCTGGGCCTACGACAAGTAGGAAACAAAAGTTAAAGTTCGAACTCTGGTGTAAGGTGGAGCTACATGACTAGTGTTCAGGGAGTAACAGCCATGCTCATCCTGATGATTTCATTGTCATCAAGCAGATTATCAGAAAGCAACAGGTCTCCCCTTTACTTGGGCTAAGTTTTCAGTTCATATTCTTGGCTTGTATCCAACATGTAATACAATAAACACTAAGAAATGACTCAGTGGCTAAAAGCAACTGTCCCCAAGCCTGACAATCTGTGTGGTGGAAAGACAGGACTCCCAAAAGTCATCCTCCGTCCTCACACATGAACACACAAACATGTGTGTGCGCGCACATACAGACACTTGCAGTAAAATACAATAAAATATTTAAATAGCGAACCATTAAACATTTAACTAAAATTACATGTTATTTAAATGTCACTTCATGTTTACAAACATTAAGTAACTCATATCTTTGAGTCACCTCCTTGATTGTATAATACATTCAGAAAATTCATTTCTAACGTGGAATCTTACGAAAATTACAAGAAGGTATGTGTTTAATCAAATAAGTTATAACCCCATTCATATTTCTGAAATTGCCTTGATTGCTCAGGAACCTGGGCAGTGCTAATGTTCAAACACACAAACTATATCAGTCTAGGTCTATGTCTAGCCAAAGGTGTGCTCCAGAGATCTCTACTGTGAAAGACTTTCTGCAGAATTTTCCTAAAGGCTGAACAAGTTAGGAAAGAGATCTACAATGCCACTAACCTATTAACAATTCCAAGAGACCCAACAAGAAATGCTTTAATTCCTTTCACTCATCTTCTCCTAAACTTATGCATCCACAGATCTTTCTCTGCCTGCTACCCTTTACCCCAGAGCACATGGAGTCCAAATATAAGTGGCCTTTAGCCATGGTTGATTTATTTCTATGTCTACATGTGATGTACAGATTACAACCTGTGTGTATGGATCTGCATGTATATGTATGTATGTATGTATGTATGTATGTATGTGTGTGTGTGTATTTGGAGAAGGGGAGGGGGATGGGAGAGGACAGGGGCTGGTTCTCCTCTGCAGTTCTTTCCTTGTCCCTGTGGCTAGCGTTATGTATTGTGCTGTGTATAGATTTGCTAGAAATCAGGTCACTGGTTCAGGGAGCCTGCCCCACTGCTGGTCCCCGGCTGTTCCTGGCAGGACTGTACATGAGCAAGAGCCTTCTAGGGAAAACCCTAAGACTTTCAGGAAGTGGTCTATGATGGTGTGCTATAGTAACTGATGAGTTTCTTTCTTAGTCACGGCCACCACAAGGGGGTCCCCAGGAACTGACACGTCTCTGAGAAGATAAGAGAGATGCTAGGCTAAAGTCAGGACTGCCTCTGCTATAGCTAGAGACCCTATGGATTAGGAGAATCCCAACTAGATTTGAGCCCAGGTCCTCTCCTCTCTCTCTGAATTCCTCTCACCTCCATGTTGCAACTCTTGCCTGGAGCACCTGAGGTCTTTGCTTTTGATTTCACCTCCTTTGCCTTGAACAGTGGATCCTCATGCTGTATCCACTATTATGGATGTACCCCACCAGCCCACCTCACCCCGTCCCCAGACACAGTTCTAAGGGGCTCCCAAAGCTTTCCTGAGCAATAACTGGGCTAAAATGGGTTATGGATAATACCATACACCTGGAGCAGCAGTAGCCAACCCTTCTCCTGTGTCTGAAGACTTTTAACTCCCTCCTTCCACTGTCCGGAGACATGCAATTCTCAGACGGCTGTGGTGTCTTATAGTCGCAAACAAAATAATCATAAAATTAAAATAAACAGATGTGCATATATATATACATATATAACATTTCTCCTATAGATGGTGGATATTAAGGTATGGAATCTAATGGTAGCCATGTGCATCTTCATGGTCCCGTAAAGTCTAAGAAATATGTGGTTCTTAACAAAAATATGTTGAGTAAATAAAGATATAAAACTCAAACTCACAACAGTGTCTTGAAAAACTACAGTAGATTGCTGTTTTATGTGGGCAAGAAAAAATACAGGACATTAAGTAATTGGGTCACCCACAGCCTCAGAAAAGGGCTTCCTCAGGAGAAGCACATGTCTTGCCCAGCAAGACAAAGTAGGAACCTTCCAATCTGCACATCATGGCAGTATGAGGTAAGATATCACCAGCATGAAAAAGCCCTGGGATCTGGGACTTCAAAAGGGCCATGCTAAGTGACATAAGCCATACCCCATAGGGCAAATACTGTGTGATTCTACTCAGATGAGGCATGAAGGTTAATTAAACATGTACAGGAAGAAAGCAGAACGGAAATTGCCCGGAGCCCTGTGAAAAGGAAGGAGGGGTAGGGAGCTGGTATTTCACAAGTGCAGAGCTTTACTTTGGGCTACAAACAGTTCTGCAGATGGAGATGGTGGTGGCTGTCATGCCCCGAACACTCAATGCCATTGGATAAAGCACTATGAAATGACAAAGCAGTTAATATAATTTTGTGTATACTTTTAAAAATTAGGGAAACAAGACTGGAGAGCTCTTGCTGCTACACAATCCGGAGCACCAAACTTGAGATCCCAGCGCCTGGGCGATGGGCAACCTGCAAAGGCCTGAGCATAGAGATCCAAGGGATCTGAGACCTCTGGGCATAAACAGACATGTGCACCCACATCCACACATGCACACACACACACACACACACACACACACACACAAATGACTTAAACTCTTTAAAAGTTCAAGGTAAATAGGTAAAGGTTAAGCCTAAATACCAAATTCTTAACATAATTGTTGCAAATATAAAACTATTTTCCCCAAATAGCTAAAAAGGTTTGCAACACACACACACACACACACACACACACACACACACACACAGACCCCGCAGGGAGAGACACAGAGACAATGAGATACACAGATAGAACAAGAAAAAACACATTCTTGGTTTTCACACTAACCTTTTGGAATATGGGGCATTAGCAGGTGACCAAGAGGTCGCATTTTAACACATCTGAAATTTAAGAACCACTAGGTTTGAAATATTCCTATTTTTTTTAAAACGACTGTCTTCCTATTTTGACCAACGATGGAACAAAACCTAAGTAAGAATCCTGGGGCTACTTTCTTGTGCAGATGTTGCCTGGTCTTTACGCTCTTAACCAGATTTCTGAGCTCAGAATAAGCCACTAGCATTGTACCTAACTCCAGAGTGTGCGCCGTTGCAGGTGACCATCTTTTCCTTTTCCTGAATCTTGTCTTGATCCCTACCCCTTTCCACATCTCTGCCTTGTAAAAAGGCACTAACCATGGGAAGTTGAGCGTACTGATTGGGTCATGACCAGGCTTATTTCTTTCTCTTCGTTACTTCCAGTGACCCTTTCAGCAAGGGTCAGAGCCAGATTTGAAACTGAATACAAGAACAAGAAGAAGGGAAGGGTAACAAGAGCGTCAGGCTATAAAACTTTCCTGTCCCAATGCTACACTCAATAAAAAGAAAGGAAATGTGGGGGACGGGAGAAGGGGAGAGAGAAGGAACTGGGGAAGATACCTAAAATAAAAATAAATAAATAAATAAAAATTTAAAAAGGAAATGAAAGGGGTGCTACGGAAGGCACGGCTGTGGCAGTCTAGGGGCTTGGAGGCCAGCAAGCCTTGAAAACTCAGGGAGAGTCAAAGCTCTTTGGTTTCCAATGCATCCATTCTCCAGTTTCAAAATGGCGGACATGGAAGAGAAGCTCTCTCAGGGCTTCTCATCTTAGATAGTCTGCAATTGCGCAGAGTAAAACCACCCTGCACTAAAGTGATCACTATTGTCAGGAGCGTGGCTTAGCATGGCTTACACTTTTGTTAGCACACAGTTTTTCAGTAACGGTTTGGGCACAAGACTGTCTTGGGCAATGCTTCTGCAAGCAAGAAAAGTCAGCAGCTCTTCCAGCCCCGCCAGGACCAATGGGTGTCAAGGAGGAAAGGCACTGGAGCATCTGGGAGGCTGTCAAAGGCCACTGTACTGAGATGTGTGCATGCATCTCTCCCCCACCCCTAATGTGTAAGGAAGATCAAGGAAAAGGAAGCCATGAAGTTTAGGTATTCTGAGGAGATATGGGAGGGCATGATGACGGACCAGGCTCACTTCCACCTTCTCTCCTGACCAGTCATTTCTCACATGTGGATGAAGCAAATATTCCACTAGAAAAGGTGACATTAAGTCAGTTGGTCCAATCTTTATTTTAGAAGACCCCAGAGTTTGGAGCCAGCATAACTGGGGCTCAAACCTGGGGAAATGAGCAATGAATAAGATTTGGCTCTTCATCCAACAGCGGTAACAGAGTCCGCACTGACTCCCCATCTTTAACCAGACAAGAGAAAGGGCCAACTAAGAGCTGACCCAGGGAAAGCAAGAAGTGCTCAGGATGAGGGGCTCCCTTTTGCCAGGATGCTCTTGTGAATAAACCCGAGCCAATGTCCTTTTTCAGTTCCAAGTTCCAGTTGCTGGGCCTGGGGAATGGAAATCTTGAAAGCAATGCCATGAGGGAACTTGGCTTTTGTCTTTCCTGCTGCTGCCTTGCTCCTCTTTTTGATTTAGACAACCACTCTGCTAGCTAGGTGGACACTGAATGTCATGTCTATAACCATGATGATTGCTGAGTTTCTCTGTAATGTCAGAAATGGCCAGGGAGGGTTTAAACAGCCATATACAGGGCACCCTTGGGTGCACCATATTTCCCTCATTCTACGAAGCAAAGTAAAAAAAAAATTAAGCTCATAAAAATTTAAGGCAACTGTCTGTAGCTAAAAATAGAGAAGCCAAGTCTGGTGAGATGTGTATGGGTAACTGTGGCTGATGGATGTGAGACCTCAGCACAGTGAGCAGACTCCAAGGGAAGAGAGTTCAACTCACAATCTAGGGACAGGGGCAGCCAGAAACCCTGAGGTAGGCTGTGAGCCCTAGAGATGCTGGACAAAAGCCTTTGCTTTGTATTTCACTTTTCAGACAGGGCAAGGCAGCGTGGATAAATAAGTCAAACCCAGACATGCTCCTGCTTCAGCTCCACTCCTTGTCCATCCAGTGATGCGTCTGCAAGTACCTCAAAGCCTTGAGTTCTCCATCTGATAAACCAAGTTAGAACAACTTCCTAACAGTGACGGGACCTTGATGGAATGATGCAAATACTCGATGAAGCTGTTTCTATCCACCTTCCTCTGCTTGCCCTTGACAATTTCTGTTTCTCAGCATCTTTCTGTAAACAATTAAAATGAACAGCTGCCAGGTATGAATAGCTGTCATTTACAAAGTTCTGCAAAAAAAAATTAATAATTCCTCGGCTACAGCACCTTTCTTTCTCATGATCGCATTGTCCTTTGCTGAGTGTCCCTGATTCAGGTAATTTTCTCTTTCTCAATTCTGCTTCTTCCTTTGTTTAAAAACTTCTCAGTTTGCTGGGCAGCGGTGCTGCACGCCTTTAATCCAAGCACTCAGGAAAGCGAGCCAGGTGGATCTCAGTGAATTTGAGACCAGCCTGGTCTACAAAGCGAGTTCCGGGATATAGCCACAGATGTTTCACAGGGAGACTCTGTTTCAAAACAAACAAACAAACAAAAACAAAATAAAACTTCTCATTTCAACTGACCACAAGATTCCAGAAAGAAATTTCTAGCCACCACCATCACTCTCCCCACCCCGCACCCACGCACACTAGTGCACGTGCACACGTGTTAAACTTGGATTTGTGAGTTGGATTTGTTGAATATTACTCTGGTGATAAGGATTAGATTCTGATAATCCCACAAATCAATTACTAAATCTCTCCAGGATCAAGGGTTGCTTTTCTTTCTTTGAGTCATAGGGAATCATTAGTTGGCAAATAAAGCGTGAAAAACCTGTGGTGCAGACTGCCCCACTAACTGGGCCGTTTGTTTGGAAGGGGACATCATATGACACCCCCACACTTCCCAGTGAGCGTAGAAGATGTAATCAGGCAATTCTCAGAGCCAAAAATGGCTGGAGGACATACGGGTGAGAACCTTGGAACAAACAGAACTGCCTGGGTGGAAACGCACAGGCTTCTAAGGTGCGTCTCATCGTAGTTAGGGCTGTGAAGCCACCAGGATAAAAACTGAGTACGGTGGTATGATGCTAGAGAGTAAGGATTTCTAGGCCTGTGACGGCATCTGGAGTGGACCTCCAGACTGCTCTGGATACTCAGCAGGACATCTCCCATCAGGCCAGCTCTCCTTGAAAGCAGGGCCTTGGAGAAGACGCAGCACCAGGGAGCCCCTGCAGCCGAAGTACGACAAGATAGCCCTCCATCCAATACCAGGGCAGAATATGTCAGGCCTCTTGCAGCGCTACTGTGTGATCTTATCGGGAAGCCGAGGGGGTGAAGTGTATACGTCAAGAAGTTCGTGCCTGTTCATCGCTGTTCATCATTGTGGTTGCCCCCAAGCAGACCCAGCAAAGTAACACTTGAAGCCATTTCTGCAGAGAATTGCAAAAACAGCAGAGGCTGGGAGCCAGTCAGTGGTTCCACTGCAGTTCAAGAAAACGCCCACAGAGTGGTAGAGGCAGCTGCAGAAACACCACAAAACAGAGCGGCACACTAAGATACAGGCGCACACCCCCACAGCAGCTTAAACCAAAGGCGCTGGAGCAAGGGCTCCCATGTCAGGAAAGAGGCAGCAGATTCTTTCAGATGGTGTTACTGGTGTGTCAGCACGAGTTCCTTTAAGAGGGTTGCCTTCTGCAGAGAATCATCACGGTTATTGGCCACCTTGCAAGGTCAGAGGGAACAACACCCCACTGCCTTCTTCGAGGAAGGCATTTTTGAGATGAAAAGGAAAAAATACATAAATCCCAGTACTCAGAGCTCAAAACTGAGTTTCTACTTCAGAGAATTAAAAATGATTTCCCTCTAAGGAAACAAAGGAAGTCCAAATTCAGGCCCTGATGGAGTCCACATACACTGTAAAATCTGAGACGATACGGTCAATGGGAATGGAGAATTGTTAGTAATCGTGATGATTTTTGTGCATACAAGTAAAATGCTTTCCTTTCCCCTCCAATAGAACGGCAAGTCTTGGGTTTATCAGGTAAACATCAGGAATACCTGAGTAGATGTTTCAGTTCTCACTGCACCGCCAGCTATTTGGCTGAAGCCCTCGGGGGCAAACGAGACGCTCCTTGACTTTATTGTTGGGCATAGGGAATCTACATTTTAAAAAAAATGGACATTGAAATACATAGGTACAAACTACAGCTGGTGAACAATGTCTTCAGCCATGCTCTCGGTCAGAAGAGCCTGTCTATCTTACCTACACAATTTCATCTCTTCAGCAAACATCTTACATGTAACCGGGAAGAGCCATGTACATACAGTTGAAATATGATGTTTCTAGAAGGCAAAACTTAATGAAACTCGGGGTTGTTGACACAGCTATAATAGTATAATAATAGAAATATGATAATAGAAATATAATAATAGAAATACGATAATATTTAAAAGCAGAAGTAAAAGATTTTTCCCTGGCTCAATTTAATAGTTACTTTGCATTTTCTGGACTAGGAAATGGATGGGCTTCATAATGTCTCCTTAGTTCTGTGTCTTGCCGTGGAGCCAGCAGACACAAAAGCTGTTACCATTAACTCGATGGAACACATCCAGACACAGCACACTTCCCAAATGTCACTGTCCAGAAATCCTGAGGAAAGTGTGCTACAACAAATTCTTCTCCCAGTGGTCTGCAACAGAACCCGAGGTTTGTCTCCTCTAACAGCCGTGCACGTAATGAAGATTCTGGGGGATCTTTGGAGCATATCTTGAGAAACTAAGACGAGGAAGAAATCAAACTGCACAAAATGTTCAAGAAGTAGTCTTAAATTCAACATAACTAGATTGAGTATCCACTGCCAAGTTGCCTTCTCTAATGAAGAAAATTCCCTTCCTGTAGAAAAAGTTATCAAAGAGCTTGAGAAACAAACAGCTCAGATGTTAAGACCACTTGCAGAGAACTGGAGTTTAGTTCCCAAATTCCATGGTCAGGAGGCTCACATCTACCTGTAACTCAAGTGCTGGGCACTGTGATGCCCTCTTCTGTTCTGACCTCCCTGGACACTCAGACAGAATGCACATTCACACACACACACACACACACACACACACACACACACACACACACTATTTTACTAAGGAAAGAAAAACTAGTTTAAACTTATCTGAGCTAATGGGAGCTCACCAACTCTGACCGGACAGTGAGGGAACCAGCAGAGAATCAAACTAGGCCCTCTGAATGTGGATGACAGTTGTATGGCTGGGGTAGACTGTGGGCCCACTGGCAGTGAGACCAGGATTTATCCCTACTACTTGTATTGGCTTTTTGGAACCCGTTTTTGGAACTCTTTGGATGGATTCCTTGCTCAGTCTAGATATAGTGGGGAGAGCCTTGGTACTACCTCAAAGCAATGTTGCTAGACTTCATTGACTCCCCATGGAAGACCTTACCCTCTCTGAGAAGAGAATGGGGGAGGGGGCTGTTGGGGGAGGTGAAAGTAGTGGGAGGAGGGGAGAGAGTGGGACCTGGGATTGGTATGTAAAATAAGAAAAGATGGTTTTTAAAAAATAAATAAATAAAATTTAAAAAAAAAATCACAAAATATTGTCTTAAAAGTTGCAGATGTATAGTTATGTGTGAGGGAGAGCAAACCAAAAGGGCAATGGTGGTCCCCAGACTCTTAAAGGCTGAATTGGATTTTTTGATGGTTTCATTGTGGTAGATGAGTTGTGTATCTATTGAGATAGATCACTGTGGCAGAGGTTTTTCTGGAACACAACAGGAACTCACCAATGCTCCGAGGTGATCAAGATCTCTCAGAGAGCAGGTGACCACTCTCCCTTGCCTTCCAACTTATTGTCATTTCCCTCTGTCCTCATCAGGCATCCACAGGTGTGTTGGGCCTACCGCTGGCTCTTCCCACATGGCACCGGACACCAGAATGAAAACTGACACCAAAATCATCATGTAGCAAGAAGATGATAAGCCCATTTAACATTTCCACTCTAGGCTGACAATTCTCTCTGCTCCTCATAAAGTCTGTGGCTTTCCCTGAAGGGCATGCCAGTTTAGTAGCTAGACTTTCCTTTCATTGTTAGAGTTCAATACTCCCGAAATTTCATACACATTGAATTTCCAAACCCGAGTTTGAAGAAAGTACCGGATTCCCTCCATATTGAGAGCATGAAAAGAACCAAAGGCCTGGATGAATGGGGAAAAGAAGAAATATTCTGGCCACAGATGAAGACCTGTGCCTGCTGGCAGGGCCATAACTGATGTGTCTCCCGGGGCAACAAGAGGTTCGTGCTAGAACACTTCTTTTTTTTATCCTTTTGGGAATCAAGTCTGTCGCTTTGCCTGATTCCCTGTTGGAAAGAGGCCTGCAGTGTCTGAGATGTGGCGTGAAGACTGGTGTGTGACTGCAGCTGCAATACCCAGTGTTCCCTGAATGCAGAGGGGAGGTCCTGAGGACATAGGGGAGGGGAGGTGGACACATGAAGAAACAGGAGCTGTTGTTCTTCATGACGTCACTCTTCGAAATGATGCAGATAGAATCTTACGACAGAGAGAAGCTGCTGAAGGCTGGAAAAATATGTTCAAAGCCAGATACATAACCGCTCTCTCGGGAGGCAAGTACCTATGAGCATTTTCCATGAGACACTCTCCCTGACCAACTCCACTGTTCAGGAGAAAGTACTCAAAGAGGGCAAGGGTCATCCAAGAGAAGCTGGAGGAGACCTAGAATTCAAACTGAAGAGAGTCAGGCTCTACCTGGCTATATCATCAGCAGACTGTGGGGGCTCGCACTAGATTGAACTGGCTCCCGGTTTCCTAGTTAGGATCCGAAAGAAGTAGATTCTTGATGAAGCTAAAGTTTTAGAACTCCGCATGACTAGAGGCTTCCCATCTGCTAAGAACACTGCATTTCTCCAAGGCTTTGCTTGCAAGCAATTGCTGAATTGATAATCTCTCAGCGTGAGACCTTTGGGAGATGTGGCCTGAACTTCTCCACCAGCTCCCAAATTCGTTCTGTTATTAATAACTTCTCCTTATATAACCTAGGTATCCATACCTTAGGAAATTTAGTGTTAACGTGGTGACCAAGGTGGAGGCAAATTTGTCTTCTGTGGTTTGTTTCATCAGAATCAGCTTGGCTGCTTGTGGGCAACGGAGCTGAAGAAACACATAATTAGAGAGTGTGTCATATTTTGTTTCTTTTATTTTTTGCCTTTGTGTGTGTGTGTGTGCATTTTTTGTTTGGTTTGGTTTGGTTTTTGTTTTGAGACAGGGTGTCTTTGCTGAGTTTGGCACTTACCAATTTGGCTGGACATATCTGCAGGAAGCCCAAGGGATGCTCTTGCTTCTCTCCCTGCCCCCTGCAGTGGCTGGGGTTACGACAGCCTAGGCCTGCGTTCAGCTTTATTACGTGGGCTCTAGTGGGTAGAACTCAGGTCCTTATGCTGGCACAGCAAACACTACCAACTGAGATCTCTCCAGCCTTCATTTTTTTTAAGTTTCTGAGTATAACAGCATAGCTGTTTAAATTCTCCCTACACTAACTCGTCTAACTTCCATAATAATTCAATGATGGAAATCATTTCCTCCAAATGATGGATCCAGAAGAAGACCTTGAAATGTTTAGATTACGTCCTAACTGTTATTCTCCTCATCTACCGGAAGCAGAATCTGAATCCCAGTATGACTATTGGTACGCAGCCGTAGATCTGCCAGGGTTTGTGTAGGAAAATGCATCAACGATACCTAACATGCTAGCTTCAAGGAAAGTTACAATGTGCTTATCGAATGCTAATCTTCATCTTTGAGCCGGAAAGGCAGTAAGTAAACATTATTGACTTCCCACAGAGAAGGCAGCTTAGGCCTGCACCGTAGGGTTGGGAGATAAACACTGCAAAATGGCAACAAAGAACATTGGTGAAGCACTTGGGGGAACTCATGCAAGACATTTCTCCAATTAAGTTATCAAAGCAAATTTCCTGTTATTCCTTTTGGGATGTTTTCTGCTCAGGCGGCAGATATGGATCGGAGGGCAGGCCGGCTCCTATCATAGCTCTGCAGCCTTGCTTGTGTGAGGTCAGCCTTGTCGGCTCTCCTACCTTCACTAAGACTGAGAACCACTTTTGGAATCTGGGCAGGAAATGCGCCCCCACCAAACTCCTTACTTTCTGGAGGAGTCGTGGGTGGTGAAGATGTTTCCTGCCATTCTGTGCAGAAACAGAGAGTCACTTAAGCCCTGATTCATTATCAGTTCAGTAGGTGCCCCATAGACCTCTGCCCCTTAGAGTGAACCAGCAGTCAGGACAGAGGACATTAGCATCACGCTGTAACAGTTGCAAGCAAGCAAACCTGTCACCTTCCTGTATTATCTACAGATGGCGTTTGCTTCCTTTGACGTGTATTCTTACACTCGGGGTGGGAGGGATTTCTCGAAAAAACAATATTGTTGAAGGCACCAAGTCCCTGCCCCCCAGCCACCCTTTCTCTTTCCTTTTCAGGGCTCCAGGAATTGCTAACTGGCATATCCTGGACAACCCGCGCTCTTCAGCTAAAAATACCAGAGCCTGTGCTTATCTCCGGCGAGGCTTCCTCTCCAGGGGCTTCACAGACGTTATCTCATTTGTCCTTAGAAACACCCTGTGAGGTAGAACGTGGTCCAAGAACAGAAGCCCAGAAAGGTAAGGAACCTTGAAGATGAAAGGTCATTGGGGGAGCTTCTCATCTGAAACCCAGCAGATCAGCTCAGGTATGTGACTTCCCAACTGTAAAATCCATTCACCAAGCATCCATGACCTGACTCCAGAAACCTAGAGAGTCCTTACAAAGCAAACATGAAACAAGATTCCTGGCGTGTAGGAAAAGGCCAGGCTTAAAGGCAACTGGGCCCCCAAAGCTACTTCTTTGGGGTTATGATGATTTATTTATATCTTTCACAAACTGGGGATCCTCGACTCCTTGATCATCTCTTCAGATTGCCCCTTCCTGCTTTTCCCCTAACCTCATCTGCTACCATGATTTCACGGCTCACCCATACAAACTGATAGGAACACCTAGCTTTCCATCTGATATATAATCACCTCCACCTAGAAAGCAAATAAGGCTTAGTTATATCTACTTCAAAATGGATTCCATAATAAACAGAACACGTTATTTTATCATCCTATACATTGTCTTATATTCCCTTTCTCAAGACTTCACTTGGTCCCATGCCCAAACCAGGGAGTCATGGCAGCTTCCACGCCCTCTTAAGTACACATACAAAGTTCACTGGATTAAATATCTTCTGGATGCCCCCATGATCTGTTTCCTCCCCACCATACTCATCCTCTGGGAGACAGAGCTTGGCAGCATGAGCTGGTGAGCTTCTTCCTCTTTGTCTGCTTCCTAATTTCGCAGATTAAAGGGAGACAAGAGAGAGTGTGTTGTGAATTTTACCTTGCACCTTCCTGCAGGATATCCATGGCCTGCCTGAGTCCTGGACAGACCCGGCTCCATCAAGCATTCCTTCAAACATGTCTCTTTTTCTGGGTTTCAGTAGAAACCATTTGTTGATGAGCACCAGCCTGGAAGTTTTAAAGGATCCTACTGCTGGTGTTGCCCGTTCTTTCACAGTCCCCTTTGTGTTTATTAAAGCCCACCATACACTCTGCAAATAGTCCCTAAGCTTGTCATTTAATTCAATTTAATCACAAGTTATTTGAACTTGTTATTTAAGCACCCAGATAAAGTGAACTCATTTTCCTAGCTTGCTTTTCTAATCTTGTGCTAACACCGTGATCCAATGCACCTTGGGGAATGAAGGTTCGTTCTTACAGGTTACAGTCCATTAGCATCAGAAGCTCAAAACAGGAACCTAGAAGCACAAACTGAACCAGAATGCTACTTACTAGCTTTTTTTTTTCTCTTGCTCTTGTTGGCTACTTTTCGAATAGAGCCCAGACCCACCTGCCTAGGAACGGTGACTCCCACGGTGGCCTGGGCTCTCCTACATCAATTGACAATCCAGGAAATCCTCCACAGGCATGCCCATAGGCCAGTTCAGTGGCGATGATTCTTCAGTCGGGGTTTCCCTGGTGTGGCAGGTTGACAAACAAGATTAGCCTTTACACAGTATCTTATTCCTAAAGGCACCCAAAGTGATATAATTACAGACTTGTGTCTTTCCCTCCTTTCAAGGATGGGTTGAGTTTTATGTTACGTGCATGGTTGTTTGCATCTATGTAGGGATGTGCACCATGTGTATGTCTGGTGCCCACAGAGGGCAGAAGGAATCAGATTCTTGTGAACTAGAGTTACAGATGTTTGTGAGCCACCATATGGGTGCTGGGAACTTAACCAGAATCATCTACAAAAGCAGCAAATGCCTTGACCCCTGAGTCACCTCCTCAGCCCCTTCATCCAGTTCAGATATCTTTTGTGTTTTAAACCCTTAATACATATCGTCTCGATTCCTAAGCTATTTCCAAATAGCTCACCCTGTAGTCTCATATTTTCAGCATGCCCTGTCTAAAATGTCTAAAGTCTAATCATGCAAAAATCCATAGAAGTTCCCAGAGACCGTCAGCACATTGTTGACTTCTATGCCTGCGTCTGTCTGTCTTTTTGGATTAAGTCTTTTATCTCTGCTTCCAGGATATCCTTAATAAATATTTATTACATGAATGAGTATTGAATAGGACTTTTGATCTTTAAGCAAACACTACTATTTGCTTTCATAGTGTTCTTTTCAGTTAAGGTGTAGTTTGGGATTACCCTAAAGGAGCCTAACTGAGGAAGCCACAGGAATGCAAACACTTCAGTTCCGTGCAGGGCCATTTAGCTTGGTCACAGCTGTTGTCTTCACTCAGAGTGACAAATGACGTACAAATCAGAACCGCACATAGTTATCGGGTTCAGTTCCTGATTTCTCCACTAGTCCTGGAATTGTGACTCTGGGCAACTTGCTTTCTATTCTAGGCTTCAGTTTACCCATCTCTAAAATGAGAACAATAAAAGCACCCGAGTCATGAGTTCATTGCAAGTATTAAAAGACTTAGCACCGCCGGGCGGTGGTGGCACACGCCTTTAATTCCAGCACTCAGGAGACAGAGGCAGGTGGATCTCTGGGAGTTCGAGGCCAGCCTGGTCTACAAGAGCTAGTTCTGGGACAGGCACCAAAGCTACAGAGAAACCCTGTCTCGAAAAACAAAACAAAAACAAAAAAAAAGACTTAGCACCTAGAAAATACCTTTAATGATATGTAACCAACAATAGGTAAACAAGAGAGTCAGTGAGTATCTCTTAGTCTATTCTACGTTCACAGCCCCCAACATGGTGCCTGTTGGTAGCTTGGTAGCTTTTTCTTTAATCAATAGGTCTCTGTTAAGTATTTTTCCTTAAATGACCAACTCCTCTGCAGATGCAATGATTCTAATCAGACCAAATCAAACCGAACTAGAAGAGGCCCATGTTTAATGGCTGCCAGCACTCCCAGGTGGCTCCGGGAAAACATGGAACAAAAAAGAGGGAAAGGGGAGACCACATGTTCATGCTCTGGGGGCAGTGTAAATAGCCTGTGGGAGTGGTCTTGACCTTCCCTGGGGAGGGGTCACCGTTTGGTGACTTTCTCAGAGGTGGAGTTTGGACTGAGGCAACTCCCAGGGGAGGGAGCTTTGAAATGGAACTTTCAGCCCAACATTCTGATGTCAGGGGCTAGGTGAAGCCCCCTAACTAAACAATAGAGACTCTTTTTATAAAGGGGTGCCAGAGAGCTGAGGTGATGCTTTTAACCAAACAGTCTCTATCTGCAAATTTTCAAAAAAATAACAAAATTCGACAAAGTCCATTATTTGAGCCCATGAGTTCTCACATGAAGTTTCCAGAGCCTCTAGAAGATCCCATGAAGGGATATTATATACATTCTCTTCATTTCAATGGTTTGTCAGAAGCCAGGAGATAGTAGAGAGATGATAGACAATCAAGTTATATAGATGGATGCATAGATAATAGATTAGATAGATAGATAGATAGATAGATAGATAGATAGATAGATGCCCCATAAGATTACAGTGTAGCTGGGAGATCCCCATGGCTCAAGTTATCATACCTCTAACATATTTGGTAATGTTTATATTAAGTTTCAAGAACTTAAAAAAAGTCTGCAAGAGATATGGGTATACCCCTATATCTTTCTCTTTTTCTCTCTTGAAAACTCTTATGTGTAGCAGGCTTTCTTGGGCCACCAGCTCCCAAATCACGACACAGAGATTTATTATTAATTATGAATGCTCAGACTTAGCTTAGGCTTTTTTCTAGCTAGTTTTCTTCTTTAAGTTAAATTAATCCATTTCTCTTCGTCTATGTGCTTCCCTGGGGCTCGTTTACCTCACCTACTTACTGTGCATCTTGCTTTCCTACTTCCTCCATGTCTGTTGACTGAGCCCTGGCTGGCTGGGTCATGGCTGGTTGACTGGCTCTCCTTTTCTTTCTGCCTGCCTGCCCTGCCTATATTTCCTCTGTCTAGTTATTGGCCATTCTGCTTTTTATTAGACCTATCAGGTGCCTTAAGCAGTCAAGGTAAAGAAAGCAGCAACACATCTTTACGTACCATAGACAAATGCAGCACATACTTACATAGTTGAACAAATATTCTATTACACAACACTTAAGTATTCATTCTTTCCAAGGATATAATAGATCTCAATTTGAAATTTCAACATTAGGCTTACCAAGATTTTCAACTGGTCATTAAATACAAATTTCTATTAAAATTCTAGAAAGAGAAAAATCAAGAAAAAAAACTACCTTTGCAACATGTAGTGAAAAAATGCTCAACAATCTTTTTAATTATTTTTCATCTTTTTGATTTATATGTAGTTTTTTGAGTTGAGAAGATACTCTCTATACAATTTTATATTTTGAACTTTCAATATTGTCAAACAATAGTCACTGATCCAAATTAAGCATTAAAAGTAATTTTAGTGGCACTAATTTACTTAATTTAATCAGTGCCATAGCACATTTTATTATTTGCAGTAACTTGATTAAACATCTTTCATTATTACAATATTGATTTAGCCCCACTTTTAGAATTATTTCTATAAAAGTACAATAGCCTTTTTGGATTTTGCCCACATTTTTATGAAATTCTCAATATAAAATTCTTAGGTTAAAGCACACAAATATTTTAAGACTTCAAAAATACCTAACAAAAATTATTTGTGAGAAAATGTATTTTTACCAGCAATATCAAAGTTAGAATTAAGATAGAGCCAAGTTTTAAATTTGTATTTTTCTGATCCTACACTCATTGAGCTTAAAATTGGTATCTTGTCAAGTTTTCTCTTAAATCACATGTATCAAATTATGTTCATACATTGCTTAATGAATGGAAGAATTCTAAGAAATATGTCATTGTGTGACTTTTATCGTTGTACAAATGTGGAATAAGCTTTCACTACCCACATGGCATAACCCACTACATACCTACAGCTATGATACACACATGCATTTGCACACGCAACACACACACACCCTTGTCACTCTGAAGACTACGGCAAACAAAATAATACAACATTATATCAAACATATAGGAAAATCATGCCATAAAGAGTTGCTATAAATTCAAATGTAAATGGCTGCTATGGGCAGAAACAGCATATTGTTTGACAATAACATTTTAGTATGAAAGTAGAACACACCAAGTTTTGTCATTTTGGAGACATCCATATTGTGGTAGATCAAATAAGAAATGCCCCCCATGGGTTCATGTTTTAAACACTTGGTCCCCAGTTGGTGCTGCCTTTTGAAGAAACTGTAGAACCTTGGTGGGGTGGAGCCTTGCTGGAGGAAGGACATCATGGGGATACACGTTGGGTGTTTATAGCCTCATCCTGCTTCCAGTGAACAATCTCCGCTTCATGTTTGCAGTTGAAAGTGTGTTCTCTCATCCTCCTACTCCAAGACCTGCTGCTGGGTCTCTCCCACCAGTATAGATTCTTCTTATGGTGCTGAAAGTCCCAATACACCCTACCCTCTGGAAGGTGCCTTGGTCATGGTTTTCTAGCCTGGAAACAGAAAAGTAACTAACACCCATGGTGAAGACATCCTCACACCTGAACAACATTGCTTAGCTTCCTGCCATACACCTGGACCCACGGTCAGAGCTCCCAGGTGACTCCCTGGAGAGACTAAAGACAGAAGAAGAGTACAAGAGAGAATGCCTTTCACTCATGGATGGCTGTAAGGCCCAATTACACAGGTTCTCAAGGCATTGCATGGATTAAAGTAAATACATTTATTTTCTCTCACAATATGGTTTTCTGCTGAAGAGCAATTTTTTGTCATATATATATATATATATATATATATATATTATAAATGCAGGAGAGCAAATATCGAGGTGCAGCGCGTGACCTTTCTGGTTGTGTGGAACTGTTGTCACAGCCATGCGGACAACTGAGAACCCACACTGAAAAGTGGGACATAGGATCTACCTTGAGAAAGCTTGCAGTCTAGAGAAATGGATAACCATGAGGTAATTAACTACTCAGTAAACAAAACACATGCTCATGCACACATATGTGCACACACACATACACATACCATTTGTAATGAAATACTTTAAAGGAGTATAGGGTGTACGGTATATACCAATACTGATAGCACACAATTTCTGCAAAAGATCTATTCACATGTAGCCAGTGTTTTGTGATGGAAATCATTCTACTTTCTAAATATTTGGAAGGATTAAACGTATAATTTGATGATAGCTTTTCTCCTTTATCTTTCTTTGATTTCAGTGCAAACACACATGCTCCAGGGACAGATATAACATATGCCTACTTCTTTAACTCAGCTTGCTTGTCAAGATAAAATATGAACATCCAATATTCAGCAGACATGGGCTGCCTGGGCAAAGATGAAAAGGAAGAAGAGGATCTTATGTGGAATCTGTTCTCAGAAGCTTGGCATTCCACAGCTACTCGTGTGCTGAGTGGAAATTAAGCCTAAACGGTTGAGGTAGTTTATTAATAGGAATAACTAGGGACTGGCCACAAAATAAATAATCTAGGTTCTTTAGAAAGCTTTACTTACAGCCTCAGGCTTACCTGGTTAACCAACACAGAACAGTTCATGCTGGACAAGTAATGAATCATCTCACCTTGATATACTGCCTCTTCTGTACTCCTTACGTGTCTTAGCTTATCTACAAGGCTAAGACATGACCTAATGATGCAACTCCCTGCAGGCACCTAAGAATGATGCCTTTTTCTGTTATCCGCATCCATGGATCCAGGAAGACGACACCAAAGCTGGGCATTGGAACCTTACCCTGATCCCTGCGAACCTTGCTTGCTTTGTGGCCTATCTGTTTCCAAGGTGAACACAGACAAAGCAATGTGGCGCCAAAGCCCATTCTCCCAGTGGGGTGGAATAGCATCTTCTGAACATTGGACTAGCTTCCAGCAAGTGAGTAAAAGAGAGACCTTTGACACGTAGAAGCCAGGGAGAGGCTCTTGGAGGAACAATGGCCCATACTGTAAACTATTTACAGACCCCACCGGCTTCTGTTGTGGCTACTGAGTCACCTGGCAACTTGTATTGTTTAATTCGCAACCCCCAGACCTCCCTCCGCCACCCCCACGACTCCCTGTTCAGTTATTGTCACTGATAGAATCATCTCAGGCTTCTCTACCCCCCACGCCCACTGCCTGCCATCATCATTTCCCCTATTGTTTGCCAGGCTGGCCCTGACCCCTGTATTTATAAAGGCCATTTCCCGCTGCATCATTGTGTGCTCTGTAGCTGTCAGCTCCCCACATTTCCTGACAATGGGGTGGGGGTGTGTGTAAAAACTCAAGTCCAGCTCCCAACTTCCTCCATGTCCTGTTTACCACACGCCGCAAGCGTCTCTCCAGCCACTTATCAAGCTGAGTCCACCAGCTCTGATTTATCCCAGTAAGTGCTGCAGTGATGGCCAACGTGGCCTAGCCTAGTGGTCTGATCACACTCAAAGGACTCAGAGAACAAAGGGCTCCCGTGTGATTGGCAGACCCCCAAAAGGCAGTTGGCTGCTTGGGTTGACTATGGGGTTCAAAGTCAAAGCTAAGGATACACACACACAAAGCTTGGACACACACACACACACACTCCTTTCCTTGCTTCTCAGGATGTTGAAGGCCTGATAATTGCAATTTTCATGTCACAGCATTTGGCAGCTGGGTGTGTGTACTCTCAGAAGATAAAAACCTGGTAAGCAGAGGTCTGGGAAGACAGCCATAGCCTTCCTAGAAATGCAGTATTTGTGTGTTTCCTGAGATCTCATCTTTCCCTCCACCTCTGGGTTGCTCTCCATAGAAGATCAGCTTCTGTGGGAGCATGGTGCCTTAGCTCTCACACACTGGGGAATGGAGAGAGCAGTAACCTGTGCATCTGATTCTGGCATCTCTCCTTCCTTCTGGACCTGACTTCATGGCCATTCCTTCCATGTCCCCAGACAAGATGGTAACACGAAGCTCAGAGTGTTGGAGAAACCAGCTTGAAGCTGTGAGCCTGCTGCAAAACCATTCCTGCCTATGCTGGAATTTTAGCTTTGTCATTTCCTCTTCCTCCAGTTACCCAAGCCTTTGATTCTCTCAGCCAGTGCTTTAATTTGCCCTATTCTCTCCTCCCTTTTCGTCTACCGTTTACTTTCCTAGAACAAGGCAGGAGACAGCTATCAAAGGCACGTACCCTGTTTGGAAGACTACATTACTAACTCTCAAACCTGACATTTGGTAAGGAATTTTTCGTGGTTACATTTACCTAGTATGGTCCTTGTCAAATCAGGTACTAGCGCAGGGGGCTGTCTGTGAGGTTCAATTGTCTCACTGGGGAACCCTAGCTTCTCTGTGTTGTTTGTTATTGAAGTCTGCACTCTGTTCTGAGTAGGCAACAGAAACAGACAGCACCAGGAACCACCAACACATCAGTCAGCACTGCCCTCATGCCTGGATTTTGCTTTGGCAAAACCACATTTTTCCTAGCACCTGGGTCTCAATAGCCATGCACCCAACGCTCTGAGAGCACCTGGCCCCCTCTCTCTACCCCTGGCCTTGGGCTCAAAAGCTGTGCGTGCTATGTGTTTGCCCTAAGTTGCAGGTTCCTCCCAGCAGGAGTCTCCACCCTTACCCTCTCACCCAGCAAGCATCCTGTTGCTACTCCAGACTGCAGAGTTCCCAGCAGGTGATGGGCCAGACCCAAGACCAGTGACAGGGTGAGTAATGGACAGGGCAGCAAGCAGGTCAAAGGGCAGCTGCTTCTAGGATTATATCTCTTTAGATGAGGAGGCCCAGTAACTGTGATCACCTTGTGAGTTAGTTCCCAGAGCTGATGGGCAAGATAAAGCACATTAGCAAACTGTGCCCTCTTTGATTTTATGACACAGGGGGGCAAAAGCTTGCCTGGAGGACCTCACCTCTCTCTCCTAATGCTGCCTCTGCTAAATTATCATCCTTATCAGCACCATAGGTATCAAGTGACTCTAGAATGTACCTAAGGAGACCAGAAAAAAAAATGCCTGTTCTTTTGTGATTCGGGAGACATCAAGTGACATATCTTCCATTATCTGCCATGGCTGGCATTAAAAAATGCTAATAGAGGTGAAATTGTAAGAAATGGTAAACTCAGAGCTAATATTATGATGCTAATAGAGATGAAATTGTAAGAAATGGCAAACTCAGAGCTAAGTATTGAACATGCTTAACAGACAGAGGCAATAGCCTGTCAAAGAGGCATGAAGAAGAGGGCCTTAGGTGGATATAAATCCAAAAAGGTAAGCGCACCTCCTGCTCCAGCTGTGCCGCACATTGTGCTTACCTTTTTGGTCTTCCAGATGGATGCTGACATCACTGTGTATCCAATAGACATCATAAACCAAATCTGTCACTGTACGCAGTGTATACCGACATTCATGACAGAACATACTACTAACGAGGAGTTGCTAGTCTTGGCCTTGGCTCCATACTGTAGTCACAGTGGTCTACAAGCCTTCCACAGTCCATCAAATGAAGTCGGTATGAGTCCTACAGAGGAAGACAGATAATAAATGCATCAGACAATCTCAAGGAGTGATAAATGCTATATACTGACTACTTCCCTGGACTAGCTTCCCATGGCTACATGGGAAGTAAAGGAAAGATCCGAGACTTGATTTCAGGACTGAATCCTCAGAGTCTGAACTCAGATGTGTCAATAAAGAGGTAATAGAGAAAATTAAGGGACTGGATTCTAGAGAATTGTGTTTTTTTTTTTTTTTAAAAAAATGTTTAATAGTTCAGCATTGGCTGTGGACCATTAATTGTATATGCATAGAAAGATGGTGGCTCTTATATAATCTTGGTATTTTTGAGACTTGGATTACCTGTTATGCGTTTATCCACTGCCCACTCAACTTACAGCTCATCAGTATTCACTATGCCCCACATAGGAATTACATTTTCACAAATGAAAATAAAAATATAGCTCCTACGTGTAATTGAGTTCTAGAAAAGTAAGAAACTAGACACAAACAATAGTAAAACTGAAGTGTCCTTTTGGAGTGCAGCAAACAGCAAAAGGCGCAATGCTCCCATCATCTGCCAGTAGAAGAGCATCCATCAGCACAGGTGAGTCTGCAGAGGCTTCAGGTTGTGTAAAGACACAAGAATGAGAAGGCACTGAGACCTGGAGAGCTGAAGACATTTGTGCTCTATAAAAACACAGGCTGGGGCTGGGAGTGGTGGTGCATGGCTTTAATCCTAGCAGAAGCAGAGGCAGGTGGATCTCTGTGAGTTTGAAGCATTCTGGTCCATAGCCGGTTTCAGGCAGTCAAGGATCCCCAGTGAACCCTTGTTTAAAACAAAACAAAACACCAGAGGTTTTATAGCATGCAAAATGCTAGGTACCAGAATTACTATTTGCAACTATATAATGAGATATGATAAGGATGAAAAGTCTCTAAGAACCATGTACACATAGGCCAGAGGAAAATGTATACAGGGTTTTAGTGCAGTTGTTTATTTATTTGTTTGTTTGCTTGATTGGTGACCCTGGAGATTGAACTTGAGGGCTTGAATGTGCTAAGCACACCCTCTACCACTAACCTAGACACCCAGCCCCCAGAGAACCTATATTTTGACAGGAACGTACCACAAGAGATCATGTGCAGAATTGTGTGCTTGTGGCATCCTGTAAATACTCAGAAAGTTTGGGGTTGGAGCCTTACTGATTGATTCATGGGCTTTGGGTGCCATATGTAACTGTATCTGACATCTAAATGTCATTCCTGCGGAAAGTGAAAGACAACTCACCTAATTTGTCTGAGCTTTTGCTTTTTAGGCAAAACCAGTCAAATGCAGAGGCAGTGAAGGTGTCATAGCACAGGAGTGCTCACAAGCTAATCCTTAGACTTTTCCTTAAAATATGAAGCAGGAAGTTCCAACTGTTCTTTGTGAGGGTTAATTTTTATTCTTTCAGGGATAAATTTGATTTGGGGAGACAGCCTAAAACCTCAAACAAAACCCAGGATAACACATACTTGGAAACATTGTGCAAAACAAACAATTTTGGTCAACAGATGAACATTAATGGTGATGGAAAATTTTCTGAGTTCTCTTGGGGCCAGGTATTGAACAAAATGACTTTTCTTTAAAAATTCTATGTGTCTTTTTGGGTTTTTTTTTTTGCTACTTTCTTATGAGAAAATAAAATTTTTGAGAGGTTAAGAGTTTGCTTCTAAATCTTATGAAGAATCTGAAATAAAGCTTAGAACAAGATCCAGAATCTGTTTCCAGCCATTTTATAGTTCTGTTCCTTTCCAGTATCAGGGCCAATGTTTAATCCTCCTCAGAGTATAGGTACCCTAATCGTTGGAGAGTCTTCATTATGATTTATTAGATACGTGGCAACTCACCCATATAGTGCACAGAAACACTTTACAAATACTCACCCACTGAGGACACACAAAAGCACTTAACTTCCCCAGCCATTAGAAATCACAACATTGAAATACAGTGCAATACTACCTCCTTGCTAAGACGGCTCTAATGAAAAAAGACTAGAGATGTAAGAGATGGCAAATGTTGGCAAAGATGCAGAGAAAGGAGAAGTCCGAGCACTCTCAGAGGGAGTGCAGCCTGGTACAGATGCTGTAAAAGACAATATTAACTTTTCCTTAAACATTAAATGAAGAACTGCATGCTACCCAACAATCTCATCCCAGGGTACACATCTGAAGGAAACCAAATCCGAATCTCAAGGAGACATCTGCATGCCTATGTTCACTTGAGCATTGTTCACAATAATAAGAAATATAAACAACCCAATTGCCTGTGAGATAACAAACGATAGTCCTAGCTACAGGAGAGTCCTGCGAGCCCAGAAAATCAAGCCTAGACTAGAAAACATAAAATTCCATT